CCACAGAGAGTCAGGACCTCGGTTTGACGTCTCATCCGAAGGACGGCACCTGTTTACAGTATAGTGTCCCCGTCACTATACTGGGCCATGAGGACCCACGTGGACCACAGGGTGAGCGCCCCCTGCTGGCCCCACTAACACCTCTTCCAGCAGCAACCTTAGTTTTTCCCAGGTTCATTCAAGGAAGGGCTTTTCTGTTACCAACTTCACCTCAACGCTCGTTTCCAACCTCGGTCTCTTTTCTTTCCGCCCCGTGTCGGGTTTTGTTTTGTTTTGGGTGTTTTTTTTTGGGGGGGGGGGGCACAACTGACTTCTGACTAATCTCGTCAACATCGCTATGCGCTCTTTTCGGTGCCTAAGGCGGAGGACAGACGGCCGAGCAGGACTTGACTGCGCGATAGAAATGCCGAAACGGGGGCATTTCTGCGCGTTTCTCCAGAACCCGACGTCATCGCTACCGCCGATAAGACCCGGCTCGTGTAAAAAAGACGTGTTTTATTCATTGAAATATTTCCCGTGCGACTGTACGGGGCTGGGAGGGGTTAAGCGCTTGGCCTGCGAGGGGAGGGGTATACTGGAGACGAAAGTTACGTTTCCACCCTCTCTCAACGCTCCCGATCTCCCTCTTTCCTCGTCACACCCCCCACCCATCACAAAACAGGGAGGTGTGCGCTACCTTAAGCCCGTCTACAAGACGCGCAGCGCCAAGAGAACAGCACAGCACCAACACGGGCCGGCAGGCACATCGCCCCTGCCGCAGCCTGCTGGAGACGAGCAGAACGCCGTTGCCTTATCGGAAAGAGCTGTGGCAGACCGGCTTCTGTCTTCCCCCACGACCCACCGCCCGCAGACACCTCCGTCATCAACCTTTCTGTCCGCCTCAACCCACCCCCGGCTCGACAGAAGAGGGGGCTGCGCTTTCCGAGCTTCGCCGGGCTCCAAATAGCACGGCACAAGCTTTAACGTGGGCTTCCTGTTCGGGAGCTATTATTGGACAGGAACAGTGACTAAAACGCACAATCTACTCCATCCCTCCAGTTTCTAAAAGATTAAGATTGAGATCACTTTATTGGCCCTATACAATTTTTTTTGCATGAGGAATTTGTCTCTGCGCAGACGCCAGCTTCTCTCCCTGTCTGTGTGTCTCCTGGAGAGCAAGCTGGGGTCTGAGAAAAGACACATTCCTCATGTGAGACATTGTGTCAGTCATTGTACAGCACCCCTGGAGCAGTTGGGGTTCAGGACCTTGCTCGGGGGCTCAATGGAGTAGGATTCCTTCTCTCGGCCGCGGGATTTGAACCAGCAACCTTCCAGCCACAGGGGCAGATCCTGATCCTGCACGTTTACTAAAATGTGCAGTAAATTATGAGTGTAGGACTCAGTTACTGGATAGCCTAGTGTCATGACAGAGGAGCTCAAATCTTTGTAAGAAAAGAGTAAATCTCTATCTCAATCTCACCTCGCAGCGCTGGGGCTCTGGGTTCAATTCCGGAGCCAGGGTGCTGTCTGTGTGGAGTCTGCATGTCCTCCCTACGAGATTCCTCCCACAATCCAAAAACATACTGGTAGGCTAATAAGCTTCTAGAAAAACTGGCCCTGGCATGAGCGTGTGTGTGTGTGTGTGTGTCCTGTGATGGACTGGTGCAAGTGTGTGTGTGTGTGTGT